TATGGTGTGATCAATGATACGAGAGTAAGTCCGGGCAAGAATCCATTGATCATTGATGGAAGACCGATGACTAAGTCGCGAGCGCAGCGAGTCAAACAGACTATTGGATTGTTTGGTCAAGCTACAGTGGATGAAACGTCGACCACGACAAGCAAAGGAACAAGTTTTGTGTTGGGCTCGGGAGAAGAAACCAAATGGATCAACTTGGTTCAAACAGCGGACGAAGAAGCATAGTTCATTCTGAACGCGTATTTTTCCAATTTTCGCGTAATCTTTTAAGTTAAAACTCTTTTATGGAATGTTTTTAGTATCTTTGAAACTTAAATTCCCTTTTTAACTAGGTTTTATGGATTCCCTATATATATGACTCATTGTATTCATTGTAAACACACAATTATTGAGATTATTATCGCGAGGCTAAATTGCTTTATTCTCGTTCTTCATTATTTTAGTTTTGAACTTATCAAAACTTAAATTCTTGTGGCGTTATACAAATTTAAAGTAAGGTTCATAAGTTTTGTAATCAGGGGTCAAGATATTGTTAGCGATTGTCTTGGTTCTTAGTTCAATAATTTATTGGGTCGGGCTTTTCAAACATTAATTCTTGGCTTTCTTGGATTGTTCTAATTTGTCGTGGGTTTCGTAGTTACAATTGTTACGTGGGTTCGCATCATCTAACCTTATCCTTATTGCAAAATACTTATGCATCCTTTCATTTTGACGAAAAATCCTTTTATATTACCTTTTTTGTGCAGAAGACTTCCATATCATCCAAATTTGTTAGTTGAGCAGTCAACTCCACGTGAGAGGGTCAAAATGAATAATTTAAGAAAGTGCAAACAATCTATTCACCATCCAAGTTCCTCGATTTAAAGCACTTTCAAGAGATCACCCAATCAAATGTCCCTTCTAAAAGATTATTGTGGATTGGATTCATGTGTGGATTTTTATGGTAGAAAATAGTTTAACTAATGTAATGGATCCAAAGAATTGAGAACTGGAGCAGATGTTGGTGAGCATGAAGCAGAAGAATCCACCGACTGTAAAACCAACTATTATTATTAGCATCAAGAAAATTGGGTGAAAAAGAGATGTTACCTAGATCATGGTGGCTATAGCCATGCATGTTGGTTTCGTGGCTGTTGGCGGCGGTGGTCGACATGTACCAATCGGCTACACTTTCAGGGATTACAATCCAAATCGTTTCTAGACGATACCGTTTTATCCTTTCGAGTAATCACCATTCAAAACCTTCAAAAATCACTCGTCAATCTGGGATTTTTGTGATTTGAATCTGGGATTTTTCTTCCAATCTGAAGAAAAATGCAATTTTTTGAAGTATCAGAAATCTACCCATCTCCGCCAATGCCCACAGCATCAGGAAATAATGCGTACATGCTCTATGTTCTTGCAAAACACTACGAGATCGTTGACAAGTTATAGAATTGATGAGTTGAAAGTATCGTCTCACATGGAATAAATTCAATTCAAATTTACTAACTTTTTATAGGATTCGAATTATGTAAATAAAAGAGAGTTTTATTTTGTTTTATGTTAAATTAATCTAAGAAAGTGGTAAAAATGTGATTTTTATCAATTTATGGATGATTGTATTGGATCTCGATTCCGCATATTACTATCTATCTCAATTCTTGATTTGTAATCTAGTTCCGTTCATGTGTTCTTGACAATCGATAATTCTATTGTAATCTTTTTTCCAACACAAATGAAATGTATTCTAGTAATGACCCAAATCTATTCGTAGTCTGAATTCGAATGATTAGAATGCATTAAATTTTAGATTATCTATATGATTGCACACGTGATAAATGTTATTCCTGATGTCTATTGCACATATGTTAATTTTACCGCATTCTAAACTTATTATGAGTCTTTCAACACTATAATAATCAACTAATTATATAATTGGTAACCAATCAATTAAATAATGCGATGGATATGTAAAATTAATCAAGAAACACAAGAAATAAATTAAATTACTAGTTTTGAATTAAAACAAATAAACAAATTTGGTTCATCTTCATCCAATACAAAAGTAGATCTAGCACATCATGTTAATATATAAATTACAAAAAGAATAAAAGAAAAATATTACTCTGATCATGAAATCTTCAAAATCTTGATATAATTAACCTTCAATTCCTTGCTAGGGCTTGATCTCATTTCTCAAAATATAGCAATTAGCCTTTTGTTCTTGATGAAAATATTTTGTATGAAGAGGCAACATAGGTTATTTTATGTGTAGCCCTTCTTCTCTATTTATAAGAGTCAGAAAATATGTCAAAATCGCATCCAATTTGATTTCCAAAAGAGTTTGAATCAAGAAATGAAACTAAAAATTCGTTCGTAGAAATGGTCTGCGCTCCGTAAAACTAGTCATGGCAACGAGCCGAATCTCGAAGCTCGGGCTTGGCTCGAGCCAAAAAGGATAGAGCATTTTTTGGCCCAAGCCGAGACGGCTGGGTTTTTTTTCCCGTGCAGGCAACTATTTTAGCTTTATTTAATTTTTTTTAAAAAAAGGGGCAGCTCATACGGGTCAAAACGGCCCGTGACCCAAGCCGACGGTCGAGCCACAAGGGCTGGCCGTAGCCCGAGCCGACGAGCTTTTTTGACATCCCTACGTAAAACCAAATGGCTCTCGGATTGGGGAAAATATGGTGGCCCCATGCACGTGCATGTTCTCTTCTTTTCGTCCCTAAACAATGTTCGGTATTTTAGACATAACTTTCTCTATAGATATCCGATCGGACTAATTCAAAATGCGTTGAAAAGGTAATTCAAAGGGTTACAATTTATCCACGCTACAATTTTTCCAATTCGAACGTTTGCTATCCAAAAAATGGGTCTCAAGTTGAGGCTAAAAATCCATAGCATAATTTTTTCGGTTGGAAATTGATTTATGAAAATACTTGCACTATATTTCACTCATTTGACCTCTTATTGCATCAAATTGATCATATATGATCTTCAGTCATCGTTTTGTGCTTCGAATCAACTATTGAATATTTACACTTAGGTCCCCAAACTTTGAATTTCTTTCGTTTTCGCATATTTTT